ATCAGGAAAGGTATTATCATTTTCATTACATATCAGTAGCATTGTTATCATTCTGGAAAGTCATTCCAGAAATATTAGAACTATACCCCCATATCACCGTTCTTGACTTTTCCATACAAAATGATGTTTGTGGTGAAATTCTTCATACCACCAAGAATTTTCCTCAGTCACACAACAACGAAGAAACTCAGCTATGTGATATGAAAAAAAAGAAATCCATTCTAGTTTTTACTCTCAACCAAACTGGATTAAGGCTGCTGCAAAGTCACCTACCAGATCCTATTATAACTAATCTGCACTTACTCTTTAGCTACTGTAAGTCATTGCATCTTCCAGAAGATTCATCCATCATTTATTTGTTTGACCTTGGCAATGGCTGCTTAAAAAGGACCGATGATGTAAAGCACTGATTAACATGGTAAGTTTCCAGTGCCAAATTTCCTGCATCAACCACTGTAATTGGAAACATCTTTTAATAGTAACAATACTTTATGCTTCACTTGACAACTCTAAATTCTTGTATATTGATGTTTGTTATACAAATTTAGTCAATAAAGTGGCAAATGATTGACTTAATTATTTAATCAGTGGACAACTCTGCTTTAAACACCCTCCATTATATAATAAATGCTGTTTAATTTGAAGTATTTATTTTGGCCAAACCCATGTAGCCATTTGTTAAAGATTACAGATTCAAAGGCTACTGCTGACTTTTTACCCCTTTTATCAGTTACTTTAAATTAGTGTCAACTAATGAAGTAACAGAGGGGTATATGTGACACAACCCCCTTTACTACAAGAAAGGAAGAGTCACAAAATATAGTTTAGATAATCACAGGTTTAAAGATACAGTCATGTTTATATGCATAGAGCCATATAACCAAGTAAACCAGGACAGTTGAAGGTATATTTATAACATGGATGTTCAAGACAATCAGATCTTCAGCTTATCAAAAGTAAATGATGATCTTGACACATTTTCCCTTGTTCCATCATCTTACTGCACAATGTAAATTTCATCCATACTATATATATTTTCCTGGCCTGGATACCCCAGAGTAGCTCAGTCTCAACAAATCTTGGATGCTAAACATGAGGGGTTGCCATAAGTTAGCTGTGACTTGATGGCAAAATACTCACGCGCACATATATATTCTACCTTATTTTTGTTTAGCATTGACAGTATGATGAACATATAAAGCTACCTTAGATCAAGCCATTGGTCCATCTAGGATCCCAGGCCTTAGACCAAGCCATTGGTCCATCTAGGATTTCAGTTTTTCCCATTCTACTACTAAATGTCCTTTTAAACTGGAGATGCCAAGGACTGAAATTGGGACCTACACTGTGGAAATAATGGATTTTATCACTGTTCTACAGCCCCACCCTTCAGTAAGCTATTATGACAGGATTCTCTACAGGGAGAAGGAGACGTATACATGGCTAGTTTAAACAACTAAGTATCAATTACTCTGCTGCCACCTTCCTCCCAAAGAGAATAAAACATCCACAGTATTTTCTAAAATCAGTTAATAATTAGATAAATACTGAAATACAACAATTAAATACTGAAAACAATTACAACATGCAATTTTGCAGCCCGTAAACAGCTATACAACACTACCACTCAAAAATTATTTTTAAAAGCACCTGAACAAAATGGTGTAACAGTGGCTACAGCACTGCCCCAATATGGGACCTCACCTGAGATAACAGGTGCCATGACTGAGAAAGAACATGCACCAGAGGTCATTTCGGGGGGGGAACGCGGGGGAATGCGGTTCCCCGGGGTGAGGTGCAGGGGGCGGGGCACATGACGAAGCCCCGCCCCCTGCTTCTGGCCGCCCCACTTCCAGCCCTCATTCAGCCAGGAGGAGGCAGGAGAAGAAGGAGGGTAAGTTGCTTCCTCCCCGCCTCTCCCCACCCCTGCCTGCCTGGGGCCAGGGAGGGCCTTGGCGGGGCTTCCTCACACTCCCGCTGGCCTTGCAGGTCCACCGCCGGGCCCCTGATGTCAAGGGGTGTGGCATATGCTAATGAGTTATGCTAATGAGTTCCCCTAGCTCTTTTTCTACGAAATGACCCCTGTCTAGCACTGGCACATCTAGTAGGCTTCAGGGATAGGACATTCAGGAGAAAGTCCCAGCTGACACACAAGCTCATAGAAGGAGAAATGATCTAGCAGATGTGTGGGTCCCCAGACCTCAGCCTCTATAGCCAACAACCAAGACCTTGAACTTTCCATGGATACAAATAGGCAGCAAATGCAGAAGACGTAAAATAGGAGTGATCAAACCTCCAGTTAGTTAATGGGCATCTTCTGTGCAAACTGCTGGATAGTCTTCAAGAACACAGTGGCCATTACAATAGCCACTTTACACATAGGCACTGGCCCAGAAAAAGGACTGTGACTTCTGGGTGGCTTGTACAAAGTAGTAGCAGAAGAAGAATAGTTGTTTTTTAATACTCCGCCTCTCCATACAACCATCACCTTGTCAGGTAGGTGGGGCTGAGAGAGTTCTTAGAGAAACTGTGACTGGTTCATGTGGAGGAGTGGGGAATCAAACCCAGTTCTCCAGATTAGAGTCCACCATTCGTAACCACTGCACCACACAATATACTGATGAGACCCAAACCCCAAAGGTCTCAGTGATTTCATTCAAAGGTCTAACATTGAAATTAAACAACACTGGTGAGAAAATAGATCTCTGTGGAAACTCACAGGGTAGATCCCACAACCACTGTCCACAATAACTCTCTGATGGAAATTATTAGTCAAATTTTCCAGGTCTGTGCCAAGGTCTCAAGTACTTACCCTGTTCAATGCATTAAATAAAGTGAATGGAATCCAGCCCCATTACAAATCAATGGAAAAATTTGCTATTGGCTTCTATAAGAAATGGATTGCACCCTTTGTGTTTATTCAATCAACCAGCTGGATTGCAAGCTATGCAATTATGTAAAACTATTCATAAAACAGGGTAAAAAACCCAAGCAGATTGTTACTGAATCAGCTAGCTCAGGATTGGCAAAAGGAGAGTCAGAGTCTAATCTCATCCACTTGAATTGGTGCTGTGATGCAAAGGTTTTAAAGATTATTAAGATTGCACATTCAGCACCATAGCAATCTTCTTCTTCTATCTTAAATACAGTCTGAGTATGCATTACAGAAAATAAATTAGCTCCAAAAGCATATGAGAACATATCCTCCCAATCTGGAAGTGAACATTTCACTTGTGGCATGATGCCAGCCACATGCCAGCTACACTCTGTTAGCATCAGCATTTAGCATAAAAAATTTAAAAATCCACACACATACACCACTTGGTTCCCATGAACTGTGAGTGCATTAAACACAGCCATAAGGGACCTACCAGCACAGCTGCAAACATCAAAACCACTACATGAGAATTAACACTACACTCTGGTTTTGACCGCATGCAACCTCAAAGAGAAGCAACTTCATTCTTTTGATGATGCATCACACTGACACAGCAACAGTCAGCATGCTGTAGGCGTATCAGGAAGGAAACACTTTAGATCTTAGAGAATAGAAGAAGAAGAGAAGAGATTGGATTTATACCCTGCCCTTCACTTGGAGTCTCAGAGCGGCTTACAAACTCCTTTCCCTTCCCCTCTCCACAACAGAGACCCTGTGAGGTAGGTGGGGCTGAGAGAGCTCTTTTCAGAACAGCCCTTTCAAGGACAGCTCTTATCAGAACTATGGTTTGCCCAAGGTCATCCGGCAACTGCAAGTGGAGGAGTGGGGAATCAAACCTGGTTCTCCCAGATTAGAATCTGCACACTTAACCACTACATCAAACTGGCTGAGGCCAGGTGATGAGGCCAGGGGGAGGCTTTCCCCCCCACAATGTCAATTTATATCCCGCTCCTTTCCCCACCTGGAGCCCTGCTGGATGGGGAAAGGAGCGGGATATAAATTGAATAAACAAATAATGTAAGAACACTGATGAGTTTGTTTTAGCCCCATCCTTTAGAAGCTTCAGATGTGGGTTGATTGACCTTTTATCCTTTGAACATAAGGCTAAATATTTAAGATGCAATGTTTAAAATTATTCCTGAAAGACCAACAACATATGCCCATGCAGAATTTTCAGCACACTCTGAACACCTGGATTTCCCATTTTCATTGCATAGGTAACTCGGACACAATTCTGCTTTCATAAACCAAGTCAGCATTTCAGTCTCACAGCAAAATCTGGCAATGCATAAACCTGCTGGTTATTAACAAGAACTACCCATGAGCATATTTAGAAAGTGAATCCTTAAACAGAGTAATCAACTGTTTAGAAAGCTCAATGCTACACTCTCTTAAATTATGTGATGCATTTAAAGGTACTTTTCAAACAATGCTGCACTGAAATCCATCCAAAGCTGGGTGATGAAGACAGCACAGCATCCAACATACGAATGCCAACACTCCCAGATAAGTTTTAGGAAAGAGTTTAACAACTATTTCTCCATTTTTGGACAAATAGAAGTTTCTGTATTTGTGTAACTGAAGCAGCTCTGATTTTTTGGATATTCCTAAAATTTCTCTAGAATTACCTACATATATACGTGAATGCTGAAACTCATGAAACTGTGACCATTCATCATAACACATACATTGGTCATTAAGATCTTTCTTAAAATATAGCCTGTGCTATAGATTGCTATAAGCAATGTAAACTGCTATAAGCAATAAGTCTATGAAAAGCAAGACAGGAACGGACAACGGGTCTCAACCACCAGGATCGTGTCTCTGTTGAAATATATTTGATAGTAATTCTGAAATGTATTCCGTGTATCTGCAAGTGGAGGTGACAGCACTGGAGATTAAAGGAAGGCTCCTGGCATGCTTCTTGATGTCTCTCTCAATACCAAGGTGCCCCAAAACATCAAGCATCACTCAGAGAAACTTCGTTGTTAAAAGAAAAGCAGCATTTTGTATTCTTAAACTGTGATCAACCGCACACAAACTGCAAACAGGTAGCAGATACCTCAGTATCTACGGAGCTGAAAGAAGACAGAGTAATTTGTCTGGCTAGCTTCAGAGCTTCTATCCTCATTGCAGCAAACTCTAACTCCTCCTGTCAGTGGGGTGGTCGGTGGGTTGTGAGCAATGCACAGGGAAAAATGCATTAAGTTCAGGATGCAAACTAAATATTCATGTTCACAGAACGAATGCTACATAGATTAATCCAGTATGAACACCATTTTGTAACAACACACACACAAACATATTCAAGCTCAGGGTTCCTTGAAGGTCTGAAACATCAGCAGAACACAAACCATTGAATTTAGAAAGTGCTGGCAACTACACTACACTTTCACTGAAGCAGTTTTAAAGAACCATACTCACAATGAATCCAAACGGTCTCCACCAAGGGTTGGTGTAGTCCTGGCCTACTATTTCTTGTATGATAATTTCAACAATTAAAACTGCCCTGTTTTTAACATTAAAAGCGTATTTTTTTAGTTTCATTACAAAAAATGCCCTTCGCCTCAAGCTAAGGTGATTTTCTGAAGTTTCACCAAGTGCTTTTTAATTTGTAATGAAACAATTTGTATTTTTAATAAATTTTTAAAAGCTACACAGAATATATTCTCTTTAGATTTATTTTCACCACTGCATAGTCTTAGCAACTTTGGGTAAACTATTGTGGCTTCTTACAGCTTTCTGTAAGTTAGTAATAGTCGGTATGTGCCCAAGGATATCATATTGTATGTGGGCATTATCCTACTCAAGTAATTTTTCCAAATGTCTTTCAGCTCAGTGACTAGTTCCCACATGCCTCTGGTATGTTGGCTCTACATGCAATGGAGCACAGAACTAGCTTTAGTTTACATGCGCCAATCACCACATATGTTGCAGGGTGTATATGACAACATTTGCTGTGGGCACAATCCATCTGCTATAGAGCAGTAGCTGACTAGGTCACACAACTGGGCATACACACAGAGATCCAAATATGCACTTGGTTCATATGTTACATTCTAAAAGATAGGGCCATGAGCATCTGTTTCAGAAATGTTTGATCATTGAGGATATAAGAGGTTAAGTACAAATCTCATTGTCTTAAAATGTTTCTGACAGGCTTGAAGAAGGCTTGTGCTGTAAACTTGGCATTCACCTTCTACTGGTGTTTACAAACCCTGAGACAAGGAACACTGAAAGACTTTCATTACAAACCTGAAGTTTCTGAGCAAATATTGGGGGATTCTTTTCAGCTAAGTCAGGCTCTAGATACTGAAGCTGATCACACACTGAAGGTGGATGAGATATCCTATTGAGAAGAGCATCAGCAGAGAGAAAGGAGTCCTCAGGTGGGGTCTGAAGGGCAAGGAGGATACAGAACAAGTAACAAAAACTAGCAGAACTTTTCATTATGAACGTCATGCATCAGCCTGTATATATACCTATGCCTAGCGATGTACTAATTAAACCTGCAGAAAATAAGTGCCTGGATTTGTCATATTGTAAGTGCCTGGATTTGTCAAGAAAATAATTAAGTAATGAAAAGTCAGACACTGCTGTTCTTGCAAAGCGATGGTTGACTATTAAAAACCTTTAAGGCTGGCTGCAGTATTTTCACTCTTCAGGGGTCACCAGCCCTTGAGCTAGTGGACCAAAGTACGAGATTCAAAAATAGTCCTTACTATGTCAATGCTGCTTGAATTGATTCCTAAGGTCATAGGCTCCAATTCTTTTCCTTTTGATTTGTCAGATGACTGTATTTGTGCGTCTTGGCTAGATGCCAGGGATCGTGAAGCTGGATGTTGTAATTTTATTCCAGAGGACACCAGGGCTTCTGTTTCTTCAAAGCTTGACCTATAACAAGATAAAGCACCATACTTTCAAGCTGGCTAACAGAAACGATGCATGGACCTAATCTTATTGAGTGTTTGGGGATCATAATGAGATAATGTAACGTTATATCTGTGTTATGGAAGAAAAACAGCCCAGTTAAACAGTCCAATTCACACTCAACCATGCAGAGTCATACTGCTACCATGTGATACAGTCCTGTACCACACAGGTATTGTGCATGACAGTGGTGTGGAAACAAGCCACAAAACCCAGACAGCCTAAGCAGAACCCTACTGAGATGTTGGCAGTGTAAGAATGGCATACACAGCATGTTAACACATTGGTAACATTTGAGTATTGCCTCAAGGTGATGCCACCCAAACTTAATATCTTACACACCCCTGAAATGATCTTACAATGTAGGATTTGCATATACTCCCACTTAAAAGTTAGTAATCCATTGAAGAACCTGTGTTGTGAGACTCTGAAAAGATAAAGACTTTGGACATCTAAAGTTACCAAGTTATTTATGTTCTTTTATCCTACATTTTTTAAACTTTCAACTGGACCATTACATTTTCATACCTATTTCTGTAATCCCTGAGATTAGAAGCATATACAGGGCCCAAACAGTGTTGCAAAAACTGCTCAGTTGTGAGTTAATTTTGTACTTTGTCCTTTCCCCGTGTTTAGCTTTAAAAAGGTTTTTGAAATGTCAGCTGTTTTATCCAATACTGTTTAGAGAAATGTTATGATGATAACATTTCCCTGCTTTCTGCTGGTTATTTCATAAGGCCTAAGAGATGTACATTTTTATGCATCTGAGGAAGTGAGCTCTGACTCATGAAAACTCAATTCGAAACAAATTTTCTTAATCTTTAACATCTTACTGGACTCCTGTGTAATTCTGCACAGTTATGAAGTTACTGTTTACACGTTCTGGTGGTGCCCAGTGATTCCTCCACCAAATGAAGCATTAAAATAACCCCACAGGGAAAAAAACAGTAGCTAAGTAGACCAATTTTTCATTGTGATGATGACATTAACTCTTTATCAATAACTACTCTTCTCAATAATATTGTCAAGTACCCAGAACAAGGAGTTGTAGAATCTGATAATCGGACTGGAGGAGACTTGACTGGACTCTCCTGCTGTGCATCAAACATGAGGTACAAAGACTGCTTTGTCTGAGCATCATCATCCTGCTGTCAAAACAAAAGAAACATTATCATGCATCTTTTACTAGAACAAAGCTATCACTCCCCTGTAATGCAACTAATTACATAGGACTAAACCACCAGTGACAAGTCACAACATGCTAAATTTATCTGTCAGTGCTCAGCTTTAACTGAAAGCAGAGGCAGAAAAAAAGACAGCAAGTTTATTGGTTTCTTTGAATTTAAATAAGCCACTAGATGGAGGCTAATGCGTTTATGCTGCATATTGCATCGGTGCATACCACTTCTAGGGTTTAGAGAAAACAATCAGAAATATGCAAAGTGGAAACTCACAATTATAGAGGAGCCTATCTTCTCCATATATTCTATTTCATATGAGTTGCCATATTCCAGCTCTGTAATACAAAGGGAAGAGCACTTAGCATGGTAGTAAAAGCATTCTTCTTGACACTGCAGAGGCCCCAAGGTTTTATGGCCGGTGCTTTCTTAATGAGCATTAAAATCAACATTATTAGAGACAACTCAAAGCATGCTCAATATTGATCCCACCCCCCTTGCATATCAATCACAGTCCGTTGCCACAAACAAAGCCGGCATGTTGTTCTCTCATCTCTTGAGGCCACATGATTGTTGTTCCCTGCATTCTCTTTCCTGAAACAGCTAAGCACTAGACTTTCCCCTAGTGCTCAGTGGGTTCCTTTCCTACCTTTCAAATAATTAAACTTACATTCATCGATAGTGGATTGAATTTTTTTTTTTGCAATACTCAAAAGAGTTTTACAAGCTGATGAGCATGCATATTATTTCTTTTTCACAATGCATTTTTGTCCAACAATTATCGTCATATTACTTGTCTCTTGCAAGGGGCTGTGAACATAAGGCCATAAAACAGCTTAGCTACTGTTTCTGAGCTTTAGCCAGTCTAGAATATATTCAGTTCATTTGCCGTCTAAGTGCAATCAGTTCCTTTGCACATCACAGAGCCAGATGTGCAACTGGTCAACAAAGGACTGCTTTAATGACAAGAAAACATCCTTAAGATATCCAGTTCTCAAAAGCAGATCAAAATTACTCAATCAGGAACACTTTCACAGTTATTTCAACAATTGCTACTGTATGCGGCTTTGGCATAACATTGTTACCACCAGAGGTTGGTGAATTCAGATGACATATTATTTGGCTATTTCCCTAGAAAAGTTTGACATTATCATCATAGTTCAACAACAGAAAACGTGACACAATTAATTGCACACATCAACTGTTTCAACTACGGACCAACCAAGTTTGCACTCTTATGCCTCTGCCTTCCGAAGGTTCAAGTATAAACTGATGTGAAATTAAATTTATTTATTTATTTATTTATTTATTTTTGGGATTTATATCCCGCCCTACCTGTACAGCCCAGGGCGGCAAACAGGCGGCAATTGCCGAGAATAAAACATAAGTTACATTAAAACCTCAATAAATACAACTGACAAAAATTCCTGACAAAAGTTCACAACCAGCTGACCAGGGACTAGCATGCTATTATTTCCTCACATGCATTAATGGAAATATTGCTGTTACATTAATAGTAAATTTGCCTACAGTCTAGAAGTTTCAGTGAACATGTGGCAACCTGTGAGTACTTTCCTGACCTATGAGCAGAGGACAGCTCCATGAACAAGAGAATCCTTCTGTGTATTTCCTAATTTCTCATCATAGAAAGGACCAAAAAGCCCTTCCATTGCACCTTTAGAATATGTGGAAGCTTCCGACAATCAATATGACATGTATGTTAATTAAAAAGGAGGGGAAGGCTTGTCCTTTCCTAATCCCATATAAATGTGTTAATTATTATATTTTTGAGAGTGAGAAAATGTGTCATTTCTTTGACACTTTCCCTCTCTTTTCCTTCCATGCCAGATGAAAACATCCTTGAAAATTTAAATGCCAGAATAGCGGTAGTGAAAGAACAGATGTCAATTTTTTTCTACAGAAGCCCACAGTTAACTCACTAGTAAGCTTTAGATATCTAACAGTGTTTCTCACAGTTTAAAACTTTTCTTTTAAAGTCACCTCATTCCAAATACGTGGGCATTTCTGTATAATTAATACAGAAACTAATCTCAGAGGCAAAAGGGAAATCAGATACTATCCCATAAACAACTTTAAATCAATACCCACAAAGTCAGTGGCTCTGAAATGAAATTTATGGCTTAGTCACAAGGTTTTTTTACAAAACAGTATACTGGCAGTCACTTATAAATTGTCTCTGTCCTATGGTTGCCGTATAAATCCAGGAAGCTGACATTGCATGAGTGTCCTCTAGGGGTATAGTGCAATTACTTCAGCTTCACCCTTACTATTGTTAAAGTCCACAGAATCTGACTTTGGAGTTCATGAGTATCATCCTGTATGTGATTCTAAACACAGGCTGTACATTATGAACTTAGAACAACAACAACAACAACAAAATTACTATACTCCATTTGGGACCGTTTTTCTCTCTCCTAGCACATTAAAATGCTTAATTACACTGAATCACACAATAAGGAAAATTCCAGTGAATTAACAAAGAAAAAACTTAAGGTGATGCAAGTGTAGTAGCTAAGTACTGGTTCATTAAAAGTGCTTAAAAAGGCAGCTTTGGATAACAGCATGATGTTCAAAGCAGATACAAAAGCAATGCAAATGACAGTCTCATAAACAAGCCTTTAATTACTCTTAAGTTTCCCCCTGTAGCAGAGAAGTAAGTCTAGAGGGAAAGTATGATTATACTTAAATGATCTCAGAGGAAATACTACCATGTTATTCAGTGGGTACAAAGAAATAAGTATTTATAGTCCCTTTGGGGTGAGAACTGTTAATTCAATGAACTTCTATACACGTATATTCTGACTACGTCCTTGGTTTAAAAAATAATTCATTCCAGCTTTGTATTACAATATTTGAATGCTAGTTTATGGTGTCCCATATGAAACTCATCTTGCCCTGAGATCGTTTGGAGAGGTTTAGCTCTGGAAGCCTTTATCAAAATTCCTGTATTAAATGATGCAGGGCATTTTTTGTGGTGGTGAGCTCCATTTGGATCCCTTCTTTAAAGAGAAGTCCATGAAGCTCAATCCTTCCACCTGGTTTTCAAGAGTCTAAATAAGACTGGAAAGTATTTGGGTTCCTAGAGAAGTATACTTTCCTGTGTTGGCTTAAGGTAAAGGTAAAGGCTCCCTTGCTCGAAAGCCAGTCGAATCCGACTCTAGGGTTGCGGTGCTCATCTCCGTTTCAAAGCCGAAGAGCCACCGCTGTCCGAAGATGTTTCCGTGGTCATGTGGCCGGCATGACTAAACACCAAGGTGCACGGAACGCTGTTACCTTCCCACCGAAGTGGTACCTATTTATCTACTTGCAATTTCTTGCTTTCGAACTGCTAGGTTGGCAGGAGCTGGAACTAGAGCTGGAACTAGAGATGTTGGCTTAAGTAAACTTAATTAGGAGATGATGATTCCCATTGATAGTTTTAAATTCTACTGTGAGTTAAGTTACTCTAGGGTATCTAATGGAGCCAAACAGATGGAGAGATACAACAAAATGTAGCCATAGGCAGAATATATTGAATTATAATAAGCAAGATGACAGAGCTAGTATATACTGTGAGCAAAGTTCTGCTTGTGGAAAGGATTTCTGACAGTTTCTAAAATTAGAGTTCAAAACATATGGTCTCCTAGGAAGTACATCCTTACAGAGTTATGTTGATTGGTTAATAAACTAAAACATCAATTGGTGTAGTGGTTAAGTGTGCAGACTCTAATCTGGGACAACCGGGTTTGATTCCCCACTCCTCCTCTTGCACCTGGTTGGATGATCTTGGGCAAGCCGTAGTTCTGATAAGAGCTGTTCTTGAAAAAGAGCAGTTTCTGTCAGAGCTCTCTCAGCCCCACCTACCTCACAGGGTGTCTTGTTGTGGGGAGGGGAAGGGGAAGGAGTTTGTAAGCTGCTCTGAGACACCTTTAGGTAGTGAAGGGCGGGGTATAAATCCAATATCTTCTTCTTCTATATATATACTGTATAGTGAAAGCAATACAAGGACAAAGAATACGGGAAGCTGCCTCATTCTCTCTGCTATTTAATCATACCGATCTTTCTTCCTTTATACCAACAGACAGACATTTGAGAAAGATTGCACCAAAGTGCTAGAAGCTACCTACAAAGCCAGCATCATAATGGAGATCATCTCTGCAATTGGGGACTGTGCACACGTGTGTCTGACTACATGTGCCTAGACACGTTTAAAAGTTCTATTTTTAAGTTCCTTCAGCTGATGTTATAACAATTGTGTAAATTAGTAATATCAACATATTGCAAGGGGAGAGGGAACAGAATAGATATTTACAGCCATTATGGGCTTCTTTGTTCTTTTTACTATTTATATTGTTAAATGAAAAACAAAGTTTTGTTTTTAAAAAGGAATAGAACAGGAAGAAATATGGGCAATTTTCCTCTTATACTTGTTTTCTAGATTTTTTTTTAAAAAAATGTGATTTAAAGCACAACCTTACAAGCAGTAGCTGAAGAACTGAAGGGCAAATGTATCATTACATAGCTTTATCAAAAGCAGAATTTGAGCACATACATTAAAATGAATTGCTAATCACTTCAGTAGTTAATCGGATCACATCAGGCAAATGGAACATTTAATATAAATGAAACAGTAAATGAAGCTAAATATACTGGAAGACAGAATCAAATAAGATAAATCAATCAGCAGTTAAGCAAGGAGAATCAGAAAGAATATTGTGTTCTCTACTTGCCTTTTCCATATTAAGTAAAATACTGGTTTGCCACTAACCCACTCAGCTTACCTTCTGTAGGAGAACTGAATTTTGTTTCATTTACAAAAGTTGACAGATCTGATGGTTGAGGGTAATCCTGTTTATCTGAATCTAAGTCCACTGTCATACAGGTCCACTTCTGACTGCCTACGGAAGACGCAAGTTTCTCCTCATCTGTTGCATGAACCACAGTGGATACAATGGAGGGAGTTTCAGCAGTGGGCAGTGGCATGGTTTCCTGAGAGAACAAATGTACAACAACTGTTGCACTGAAAAGAAAGAAGCAATTCTCTCCCCCCCCCCGGACCCCAAATCCTATTTCTGGATTCCTTTTACTTTCATTTTTAACTCCATCCTACCTATTCCAGCTTCACACAAAGACAGGAGGATCTCATTCCTGAAAACACTGAACCAGAAATATGATTGGAACTTGTCCTAATGCCAAGGATCATTTTAATAAAAAATATTAATACAGATAATTACGCTAAACACAGGGCATCTGGACCATATGATTGTAATCCAGTTGTTTTTAAAAGCACACACACAAAAAAAATCTGAACTCAGACTTCCTGAATTATTTTAGCTGTCTACCAGGGCCACCCTAAGCAGTTACACCCTTTTAAACCCATTGTCCAATGGATTTAGAAGGGTGTAACTCATGCTTTTACACACTGGATCTTTATGAGGGTTCTGGTTATCCTGTGGTATGGGGGGGGGGGGCTGATATCCAGACACTTAGCTTCTCTGCATTTCCTATGTGGATTTTCAGCTCCTGTATCATTTTCTACATGTTTTGTGTGGAAAATGACCTAATTAGCAAGTGAACCATTTGTAATCCAATTAACACATATGATGCTGTATTATATTGAATCAGATCAAGGTCAGTCCACCTAGCACAATTGAGAGCAGTTCTCCAGGGTTTCAGGCAGAGGTCTTTCACATCACCTACTGCCTCACCCTTTGAACTGGGGATGGTGCATATTTAAACTGGGATCTTTTGTATCAAAAGCAGATGCTTTCCCACTGAGCTATGGACCCCTCCTCCTAAACTGAGTTTCTTTTAATCCATTCCGGTTTACCAGGATTTTACATTTCTATTTTTGCTACTTTGAAATTCACCCAGCAAACATTAAATGTTTGAAAATATCACTTTAAAAACTTTTAAATATCTACGCTTGAAGAACAGTTTAGTACTATGTAAAACTCTGGATCACAGATCTGATGCATTGGATTTTAAGATTAATTGGCCTACTAAAAAGGTATCTATTTATATTGTATTGCTGATGTACATAACCAAGAATACAAGGCTATTTTGCCTGAAGATTGTGGTTCAGTACTGAACACTGACAGTGCCCTCCTTAGAACACTTTCCTTTGAGTAAGCCCCACTGAATAGACACGGGGAGACTTCTGAGTAGACCTTCTTAGGATTGCTATCTATGTGTATTCCCAAAAATAATTCCTTGGCAATCACAATGGAATTTTAAGACAATTGTTACATCTAATAGATATACATACAGTGACAGAAATATGCAAAAACATTTAAGAACTTTACCTGAGATGGTGGATCAGACAGTGGAGATCTTTTTGGTGACTTTTTCACCCTAAAAGTATCACTGGAAAGGAAAGGGAAATGTGAATATGGCAGGCCCGAGAAAAAATGATGGCATGTAACAATAGGCAGCCAAGATCTGAAGGAACCACCATCATAGAAAGCTTTCCTACTTCAGAAAGCTTCATAAACTAGCACCATGGAAAAACATGCTTATGACCTTTGATTTTGTATCATGCACTTTTGGGTTGAATCTTGGGGGAGGGGGAGGTACACCAAGCATGCAAATTGATTACATAGGTTTTGCCACATTTCCAAAGTGATTAGGAAACATCATTCAGTCCATATAATGAGATACAAATCCATTTATTATGACACTGGTGACAAACAAAAATGTAACTTGTCTCTACAGACAGATACATATTAGCCCTTTGATTTTTAATTCAAATTGTGTCTCAATATATCTCAGTAATGGAAACAGCATCCCCACCGCCCACCCCAGACTGGATCACTGCACAAAGATCACTTGGTCAAGCCACTCCTTCCCACTAGCCTTTTGCATGTAAGTAGAATGAGCTAAGTTTGGCTAGAGCAGCAAAATCAAACAATATGGCCCATTTCCCTGACAGTACAGGAGAATGCTTGAGTTCAGATATCTGTTCCAAGGCCCCAGTCACTCACATTTTCATTGTTACTTCAAAGGATAAGCTAATAACCACCAATACCCACTCTACTCTTAAAGGGTACAGAAGAGAAATTTACCCAGTAGGAACATAATCTTCAGAAATGGATCAACCAGTCCCACAACAGAGTTTTAAGACATCCAGCAAGTATAAAATGCAAGACCATCACATGAAACTGACTTATACTGAATCAGACTATTGGTCTATCAAAGTCAGTCTTGTCTACTCAGACTGACAGTGGCTCTCCAGGGCTGCAGGCTGAGGTCTTTCACATCACCTCCAACCTTATCTTTACTGGAAATGCCAGGAATTAAACCTGGAACCATCTGCATGCCAAGCAGATGCTCTATCACTGAGCCACAGCCTTCTTTTCATCCCTTATCCTTGCTCTTTGTGCTCTGGAAGACAGCACAAGTACAATCATGAGTGGTCCCCTTAATCTAAGGACTCTGGGGAAAGAGAGAGACTATAAGTGAAAATGGATATTTAGCAGACTTGCACTACAGTCCTAAGCAGAGCTGTACCCTCAACGCACTTAGAAGGTGCAACTCTGTTTATGATTGTGCTGCTCTAGCAGGTCTCGGAGGAGGTGACATATGAATGACCAGTTAAACCAATAAACACACACAAACATATTTAATCTTTTCTTTTGAGTCTGCCTTTGGTGGAATTTGAATAATAATTACCTTTAGTTCTGAACTAATGTTCTTCGTTCCCTTATCCATTTCAGAAATATTCTATTCTTTTATTTTGACTGGCACAATTACTGGGTTTCTACTGCAGTCTGAACACCCACAGGGACTGCTCCACAAATTCACCATGGTCTTTACCCATGTTTCTCCCCCTCTATCACTAGGTTACACAGTGCTAGGCAGTGTGCTGAAGCTTGTATGAAGACTCAGTGCCCAATCTCCTGGTTTCTGGGGAACAGATATTGAGTTTGGTAGCAGTATTTATCCATTCTGTCCCCTAATCCCTAATTGCCTTAACAGATTACACACACAAACACTACCCATGTCCTTCCAGATGAGCTGAGAAAGTGAATGAGACTATCATCTATCTATCTGTCTGTCTGTCTGTCTATCTTCACACAGACTCTAAAAGCATTAAAGTGAAAAGGATTCACCTAGACAGAACCTAAATCGATCAAGTGAAGTACATCTATCAAGACACAGCTCCAGCCTTTGATACAGGAAGAGAAAGAATTAGCCAAGAGTTGTGGAATGGTACCCAAATATAACCTCACTGCCTGAACACAAAAGTAATAATTTAAGTTTGCTACTCAGCAACTACACCTCAGACAATTACTGGCAAAGCAGCAAGAAGCGATAACAAAAGTGTTTCAGTTTACACAGGACAAACCAGCATTTCACCCATTTTTGTTTGCATACCAGACAGACACCCTGTCCAGTCAAGCATCATTTATAAAACACTTACTACACCACATCACACATAAAGAAAGATGCTAGTTCTCAGGAGTACCGGAGGGTTTCTTTAAAAAAAAAAAAGGGCAATTGTGTAGCAAACACAAAGGGTGTGATTGCCATGGCTCCCAAACTCCAGGCTAGCAACAGTGGTGACTTGACAGGAGAAGAAAGGGTGGTAATATATTTGCAAGGCTGTATGTCAGTAACCATCTATTAACAAATAAAATATTCATATATCAGCTGGGAAGATTAAATTAAACATGAAACATCTAAAATGCATCTGACAGATAGCAGTCTCATTCACAGTCATGCAGGTTCCTTAAAAGAAGAACTTTGGCCCAAATTAATTTTGCCAGTATAAAAAGCACCATGCCTGGCAGAACACAGTAATACCAGGAAAGTGGGGAGAGATAAGGGGATGATGGCACCAGAAACAAGGGATGAGGCATATCCAACCATAGCAAGCACATTTAGCATCAAAGTTACTTACAAAAGAGAACATACAGACATCACATCTTCAACCATCCTAAGACAAATAAGACAAAGAGAGAAAGACAGAGACAGAAGGAACTGACTGACACAAAGGAGACACTATTAATTACATTAGTCTAAAACCAACATGAAGTTTTGCTACTTTGGAAAGCCCACATCTTAAAACATTCATGATAAGGCAGAGAAAACTAGGCATTCCTCTAACACAGGGGTGTCAAACATGTGGCCCAGGGGCTGGATCAGTCCCTCGGAGGGCTGCAATCTAGTCCTCAAGGCCCTGGCTGTTTCCTGCATCTTTTCCCAGTTCATAGCTTACTTTACCAGACTCTCTCAATCGTACAGGAGAGATAGGTAGGCAAGCCTCTCCTGTATGTTTGAGAGAGTCTGGTAAAGCACTGGCTGAGGCTCCCCCCTCCTCCTGTGGGAGGGAGGGAACCAGCCAGAGCTCACTTCCTGGCCAGGCTGTCTCAATCATATACAGGAGGGAGGGAGGGAACAAGGGAGAGCTTGCTTTGCTGGGCTGCCTCAATTGTATGGCAGAAATACCAGGCACCTTTAAGACCAACAAAATTTTGTTCAAAGTATTATCTTTTTTGTGCCTTGCTACAGCGTGTGTGTATTCTGTTGGGCTCCTTATGCTGTGTGTGTTTTGTTGGGCTCCTTATGCCAGGGCTCTCCTGGGTACAACTGGGATTCCTCCCCCTTTTCACTGTGTTCATGCCCTCATGATCCAATCTCTCTCAGTAAGAAAGCAATGTGAACTATTTTAGAGGAGGAATAACAACAAGCCAGTGAGGTGGATTAGGCTGAGAGTGTGTGTCCAGACCAAGTTCACTCAGCACATTTCCTTTGTAGGAAGTTGTAGTTATTTCTCTGGGGAAGACTATAGTTTTGTAGACAAACAAACAGCCCTCAGTCTGTGTCAGGATGCCTTCTCATGTTCTTGACCAGCACATGAAGCAACTTATGTACAAAAAGCTTGCAATGCCCAGCCATTTCATGTTTTCCTCTGGGTCCTGGGCTCAGAACACTGAGCATGAGATTTCTATAATGAATGTCAATAAATCAAAAGTAGGTTTGCAGCTTACAGATACACACGTGATCAAGATTGGTACAGCACAGACATTTTGATGCAATAATTCAGAGCAAGAGATGTCAGAGACTGTTAAATAGACAAAATATTGCAAGAGTGCTAAGGTTTTAAACATGTTTTATTTAAAGTTCAAAAAATCTTTAATTGTGTTTGTCTGTGTCCTTTATAAAATTTATATCTCCGCTACCTGACATTACATTTTATAGCACACATGGCCCGGCCCAACAAGGTCTCATTTATGTCAGATACGGCCCTCATAACAAATGAGTTCAACAACCCTGCTCTAACACCTCACTGAAATTAACGTAACTAGTCAAGCACACTGATACAAGCAAACATCCTATCTATGGGGCCTGGTACAGTGAACTACTATTAGATTATGTCCATTGTCCTTGCTTGTAGAGAAGCAAATTTCGCAAAGTTTAAGCTTCCTTAATTCAGTGCAAAACATTTCAGATAGGCTTTCTTTATCAAACATAAAACCTAGTTTTCAAGGCTGATGTCTATTTCTGCCTGTTTAAGTATTTTTCAGTGGATTGTCATGGAAGCGGCCTTGGGTAGCTTATTCTATTTATGTGTGCTCACATAAATGAGAAAGGGCTATGTTTAAGGGGTAACTGATGACTAATCCTTTCTTATGAAACTTTTGGCCAAACTACATGTAACTTTGGTGGTGGTGGAAAGTGCCATCAAGTCGCGGCCTACTTATAGCGACTCTTGAGGGTTTTCAGGCAAGAGATGTTGAGACAATTTGCCATTGCCTGCCTCTACAACCCTGGACTTCCTTGATGGTCTCCCACCCAAATGACCCTGCTTAGCTTCTGATATCTGACAACATTGGGCTACTCCGGGCTATCCAAGTCAGGGCACATGTAACTTTACCCATATATTTTAAAGGCAAAAGTAGCTGTGGAAGGCTGAAGTCCTGAGCAGAACACTGGTGAGAAGTATGGAGACAAGAAAAACTCCAAACTGAGGAAAGGAGGCTTAGGAGGTTCTGCCACACAATCCACCCCACCCTACCTTAGTACTCATACAAGTTTTCTATTGACAATACATTTTGAGAAGTTACACATAGTAATGTATATAGTCTGGCGATCTCTATAATCTCATAGTCCTACTTATCTTTGAATTGCACATATAAAGCTTGAAACCAAGTCTTCTCTAAATCTTCATGATCTGGGCAATACAGAATCTGGGCACCTCCAGGAGACTTCTGCAGCACCTGCAAATTCTACATCACTGGAGGTATGGATGTATCTTTCTTTCAGCACTTGTCATCTTGAACAAGATTTTATAAATGCACAGAATTGTTCTGAAAGCTGCCCTCTATATTACCAAATCATATGTCTTTTTGAGATGCTTTCTT